GATATTTTCACAAGCTCTGAATATTTTATTAGGATTTGTCATGTCCCAATCTATATCTATAGGATTGTTTCAAAATTTTACAAGCTTATAGACATTTCTATGGGCTAAAACCCTTATTAGATATTTGTACAAAAACTATAAAAACGATGAAACCGCCTTGAAAAGCACTTTTACCTTAGGTAGATAGGTAGTTTCAACGGCTTTGAGAGTCAATGAGGTACTATGTTTAGTTTTAGAGTTTGAGAAGAAAAATCATATCACGAGAATAGTTTGAATAGGTAAAATGGACTTTTTCTTACATATGATTCCCACTCGAGTTTTGTTCTATTCATTCTCTACGAGAGCAAGTGTAATAACTGGCTATACGTGAGTTGAAAAATGAGGTGGACGAAAGAGAAGAGGAGAGAGAAGAGAAGCAGATTATAAGTTTACAACCAGCTTATATACGCAAGAACAAAGAAAACTTAATGAGAGAAAAGTGGATCATATGATAATAACGAAGAGCTCACTGCTATATAGATAAAGTGATCTACACAGATCATGCAACCAGCAGCAGGCTCTATGAGACTATTATTAGAGCAAGTATAATAAGAGAAGAATTAACTAAAACTTAATGGAGGAGAGAAAAAAGATGGAAGCGATACATGATGATAATAGACACAAGAGCTCGTTTGCGAGGGTGTACACAGGCAGCTAGTGATAGACTACACAGGTATCATGCATGCACATGACTGGTGTTTGGTTATCTATGAGACTATTATTCGGAGATTTTGCAAGTTATAATAAGCATCCGCTGCCTCACCGAAATTAACTAAAGCTTTGAGATGGAGAGAGAGAAATGATAGATAAGTGAAGCGAGCTATATTTGACTACAATCGGGCTTAGACACAAGAACGCAAACAGACCCTGCAGCCCATGAGAGAGACAAATGAGGTCCTGTGTATTAAGAGTGAGAGAGACAAATAGGTCATGTATTAATAGTGAAGAGCTAACTACTGTTTAGATGGGCTAAGAGAAGGCTGCAAAGAACCCTTACGGCCAGCAGTCGACTATGGTGGTGTTTGGATCACTAATCCAAGGACTAAAGTTTAGCCCCTAAACTTTAGTTCTGCTGGACTGTTTGGATCCATAGGCTAAACTTTAGTCATCTAATCTACCATGACTGATTTGCCCTCATTTAATTATCCATGCACAGCCATGCATGCGAGCGGCAAGGGGTATGGGGCGTCAAGCGCCCGCACCGAGAGAGTTTAGCCTAGTTTAGGGCATCTTTGGGAGCAAAAGATTTTAGCCCAGTTTTTAGCCATTTGCTCACTTTTAGCCCCCATGTTTGAATCCTCATGGCAAAGAAAAAACTAAAAGTGCATGACTAAAGTTTTGCCATGTGATCCAAATATGACCTATATTAAGGTGTGTTTGGCAGAGCTCTTTCCTGGCTCTAGCTTTAGCTTATCTAAAGAAGCCCTGCCAAACAGTTTAGATGGAGAAGCCATTTTAAACACTTTTACGGTGGGCAGAAGGAGGACTGAGAGGCCCGGAGAGAAGCCCTCCCCAAACACACCTTTATTAGGCTCGCTCTTGACCTCCTACAGCCCACCTGCAACAGGCCGACAACAGGACTCTCACGGTGCTATTGCTCTCGCGTGATTGGCCACGACATACGTCCGATCAATGTATGTGGCACTGTTCGACGTGGTACAAATCTGGGCAGTATATTGTTTGATTAATTAATAAATAAAAGTTCATCCAGATTTGTTAGATTAAGCTTTTAACTACCCATACCGATTAAATTTTTATTTAAAAATTAAAAAACCAGTATATTCAAAGTAATTTTCATAACATATCCCAATTTTATTTTGTCCATAAAAAAACTCGATTCGTGGTGGCTAGATAGCCCCGGGTATTCTGACTTAGAAAGAAGATCTTCTCATGCAAATCGAGAAAACCCCCGAACCCCTGTCCCACGCTTATACACCAGCACTATAGCTCCGTGAGATGAGCTGACCACAGATTTATGCTTTGGATGTGGGACAGATGAGAAGTTTTTTTTTTCCTCCTAAGCCATGAGAGTGAGTCCCTTAGGACCCGAACTCTGACCACCCAGGAGGGAGGTATTGAGTCTGCACTGACCAAATTGATTAGCCAGCCGTTGCCTATTTTGTTGATCTATATAAAAGTCAAAGATGTTTATGGTGCAGATTTAAAAGTTTGAAAAGAGGGAAAATGGACAAAAATATATTAGTGATCAAAAGAGATATGCGTCGGAGGTGGTAAGTATGGGTGCTGCAGCGGTAGCCATTGGCTACGAGAAACAGATGACAGGATTTGTTGGTTGTTGGATGATGTTAGGGCGGGACGTATTACACTAACGACTGACATAATGATAGTACCGTATTGGTTTTTTAACGGAAAAGATCACTCTAATTCCCTATAAAATAAAGGACACATGACCGATTGAGATATAAACACACAATCATTAAAATTAATATTAATTAAAATTAATTAATTAATTAATACCTTTTCCCCTTATAAATCCTTTTTTCTAACCATATGCTGCTGCTCATCTCTGGATCCAACAATCAACCCACTAATGTAGTATGCACGGAAACTGGCCATTCTTCGTCACGCAAGTATGATCGGTTACCCTTTGCTAGTTTGTCAAGAAACTAGATGTTTTTCGTCACATAAGCAATTGATTATCCTTTTGGTGGTTTGCTCGTAAACCTTTCCGTGCTTCACCAGTAAATGTGATATCCTCGTTGCGTTCTTCGATCCGTGAAAGTTCAAGGCGATCTAGCCTTAGCTGATGTGTGATATAATCCGGCGTCAACACATATAAATCGGGAAATATATATTACTACTAATTACCACGACGGCAAGTTTGCCGTTGGTAACTGCTTGAGACGCGGGAGGAGGGGAGGGCGGGGGAGCTTGGAGCATGCCCGTGGATGTGATACCGCGAGATGTGTTGCCTTCGACGGCCCGGTGTTGAAGAAGTAATCCCTACCATCGGAGTTTTTTTTAAGTACCGGTGATGAATCGCTACCATCGGATTTTCATCAATAGCCTCCTAGGCACCAAATATCAGGTGTCAGACACCCTGAGCAATACTCGGGTGCCAGCTAGACAGCTTCTCATGTAGTAATCTTTGGAGTCATGGCTCCAAGAAAATCTTACGAACATGTGGGCGTTTTCTTTAATAGAATCGTGCACATGCCCGTTGATGCACATGCATTAGTATGAGAAAATCCCCACGTCGGCCTAGATCCGGCGCCGCGCCGATTACTTAATCCGCCCCGCGCGGCCACGTCTATCTGTTCACAGGTCCCGAATCAGAATCGCCGGGGCCCCTCGTGGATCCCGCTGCTCCCGATTCGTAGCCCGGAGTTCAGCAATAAACCCGTGCAAGCGCCGTGTTTCGCTCTTCGTCGCACGAGGCCAAGCCAACCAACCGACCAGCGAGCCCCACGCTACGCGGCGCCGCGCGCGGGGCGGGCAGCAGCACTGCACGTTGCACCAGAGCGAACGCGCGCGGCAACGGCGGGCACGGGACGGGAGCCAGGGGGAGGAAGAATTGGCTTGGGCACGGCGAGTTTTTGAGGCCCAGCGGCAGCGAGTGGCGCCTAGGGACCAATGGAATATGGGAACCGCCTTTAACGGTGTCCGAGGCGACGCGTAGCCGCTAGTGTCCCTGAAAGTGAAAAGACCGGAACTGTCACTCAGGTGCGCGCGACTAGCGTGGGCGTGGCGTCCGGCCCCGGGGACGAGAGGGAGTCCAACGTCGCCGCCGCCGAGCTTGCCGCCGCCACGCACGGTGTGACTACCCCACATCGCCACTGCGACCTTGGTGTCTCTTTTGTCCAGGGAATTCATCACGATCCAAGGAAGCAAGCGAGAGACACGCACCGTGGCAAAGGAAATCTGAATGCTTGATTCCTGGTTAAGTTCCTCACACTAAAGTTTAAAGTTTAGTTTCCGTCCGTCGTATGTTTGACACAAGCATAGAGTATTAAATATAGATTAAAAATAATAATTGCACAGATCATGACTACTCTGCGAGACGATTTTTTTAAGACTAAGTAGTCCATGATTTGACAATACGGTGCTACAGTAAACATACGCTAATGACGAATTAATTATGCTTAATAAATTTGTCTCGTGAATAACTTATACAATTTATTTTATTATTATTGTCGAACACTTACATGTGATACTCTTACATGACACCTTTAACTTCACAGCTTTAAACATCACCTGAGCCGGCGACGGCCGCAGGACGACAAACTGCAGATACGAAGCACACTTGCTACTGAGAATGGAGCCACAGAACAACAAACAGCACAGAGTTATCAGCCGGCTTATCAGCTACTACATTTTTATTCTCTTACAGTAAAATAGTTTCGATTAGCTTATCAGTCGACTTTAATAGAACCTGCCCTTAAAACGTGATTACGAGATTAAGAGGGTGTTTGGTTCTTTAGGCGCTCCTAAAATTCATGTCACATCGAATGTTTAGATACTAATAAGGGATATTAAATATAGATTAATTATAAAACCAATTACATAGATTGAGGCTAATTGCCGAGACGAATTTTTTAAGCCTAATTAATCTATCATTAGCACATGTTTACTGTAGCACCACGTTGTCAAATCATAGACTAATTAGGCTCAAAAGATTCGTCTCGTAAATTAGTCGCAATTTATGCAATTAGTTTCGTAATTAGTCTATATTTAATACTTCATGCATGTGTTCAAACATTCATGTGTTCAAACATTCGATGTGACAGAAATTTTAGGAGGAGCCTGAGGAACCAAACAGGCCCTAAACTTCATTTTATCCAGCCCCCGAATGAACAAAAGGATCACTGCACTACACTACGCAAGCATGTAAACGATTTTTGGTTATACCACCGTCCAAACTCCTGAATGAACATGTAAGCCATCAGCTACTGCCCTACTGAAATGAAGCAGCTTGACCAGCAGATCGCCGTCGTCAGTACTCAGTACAGCCCCAGCATCGTCCGCGCGAACGACTGCCGTCCGCCTTTTACCGGGAGGATGGCGGTGCGGCGGCCGCTGGCGCTCCGAATCGGCGTGAGGTAGAACCGCAGCATGCCGTTGTCGGCGGCGTTGCCCGGCGAGTGCCGCGCGCTGCGGTTCCGCTCCAGCGCCGCCGCGCAGTACTCCTCGCGCCTCCGCTTCACGTGGCCGTGGTTCGCGGCGTCTACGTAGCTGCGTCTCGAGCTGCCCAGCCCGCCGCCGCTGTTGCTGCTGAACGAGCTCCGCGCGCTCGCGTTGCTGTTGCACCGCTGCATCATCCGGCCGTTGTACCCGCGGACGCGCAGCTCCGGCCACGGTTCCGAGAATGCGCGGTCCGCGCCGCCGTCGGACGCGCCGTTCCTCCGGCCCGCGGCGCGGCGGTGGATCAGGCCCCACAGGCTCCACGCCTTGCGCCACCGCCGCGGCTTCTTCGCGGGGCCCCCGTGGAAGGCGGCGTCCAGGCTGGTGGAGAAGTCCTCGACGAGTGAGGTGGTGCTGAAGCGGTGGTCGAACAGGTCTTCGGCGTGGTGGAAGTGGTAGAACTCCGAGCTGCCCATTAGAGGGGATTCCTTGCCATTGACAATGGCGGCGGCCGGTGCGGTCACTGGCACTGGCACTGGCTTTGGGTCGGTGACTTCGAAGGACCTGCGCACAGAGCTGGACCTGTCGAGGCTCCGGCGCCTCCGGCTTGACGTGTCCATGTAGTAGTCTCGCGTCTGGGCCGTGCCCCCAGGGACGTTCGTGTCGGGGTCAGGCTCCGGCTGGGAATCGTCCTCCACGGGGATTTGACCGTCGGAGCGCTCCACGATGCCGGCCGGGGAGTCCTCCAGAGCCGAGAGGATGGGAGGTAGGCGGGAGAGCGGCGGCGGCGCGCGGCCGAGGCCAACCCCGGTGCCAGCGCCGAACAGATAGCCGTCCCACGACGCACGGGGCTCGTCCCAGGAGAAGCCCATGTCGTCCACGGACATGCGGCCGGCGTCCAGGGAGAACCGTGGATCCGTGTCGCACGAGCGCCGGCCGCCGCCGAACTCGGAGCCGGCTTCACCACGGCGGAAGCGGCTACGCCGGAGGAACGATGGCTTCGAGGGCTTCTCCGGTGGGGGCATCGCCGCTGCCGCCGCCTTGCTGCCCGCGGCCTCCTGCTTCTTGAGTTTCTGCTTGCGCCTCCACTTCTGCCACTTCTTGCTGAACACCGAGGCGGCGAGCCAGAAGCTCCCGGCGATCTCCTTGAGGTCCTTGGGCGGCACCTTCTTGTTGGGCGGCTGCTGCGACTGCGAGGACTCGAGATCTATGTGATCCTTCATGGCCCTAACATCCCGTGCCGCATTCACCTCCGTCTCCATCTCCCCAGAGGTGTCCACCACCAAGACGGGCTCCATCACCGGAACAATCTCGTCGGAATCCTCCTCGGCCACAACAGCAATCTCCTCCTCCAAGAACATCTCAGGGACGCACGCCGGCGGAGGGGGCGGCGGCTGCGGGGGCGGAAGGACCTCGGCGGCGGAGGACGAGGCCGGGAAGGCGCCGAACGCGATGCCGTCGCGAACCCGCTCGCGGTCGTCCTGGTGGAAGAGCGCCCAGAGAGTGCTCCGGCCGCGCACGTCGCACGACCGCCGCTGCGGCTCGTACGCCGCGCCGCCGGCGGCCCCCGCGAGGACGGCGGCGGCCAGCGCGTCGCTCCCGCGCCCGCAGGAGAAGGACTTGCAGCGGCGGAGGTCCGGCAGCGCAGCGGCGGCACCAACGGAGCCCGAGGGGCCCCCGCCGTCTGTGGCGGCAGCGGCGAACAACGGCCGGGAGAAGAGCGAGCGGATGGCGGAGGTGGACTTGCGGCCCGGCGCGGGGGCCGCGGCGGCGTTGGCCTCGAGCCCGGCCAGGCGCTCGCGGAGGCAGGCGGCGCAGAAGCCCGTGAAGGTCTCACCCGGGTGGAGGTCGCAGGTCGTCGACACCGACCGCCGCGGCGGCGGCACCGGCGGCTCCATCTGCAGCGTCATCGCATCGTCGCACGCACGCGCGCGCGTGCTGTTACCCTGGACACCTGGCTGGCTTAGCCGCGGCGCGCCCCTCTCCAATTGTTGAGAGAGAGAGAGAGAGAGGAGGAGAAAGCGAAAGCGAATCACCTGGACACCTGGCTCACTTCTTCCACACCACCGCCAGGCAAAGCGCTCCCTCCTCATCAATTGTTGAGAGAGAGAGATCAGAGGAGGAGACTTAAAATAGCGAAAGTTAATTAAGCGATTTTTATCACGGGGCCCGTCGCCTCTCTCTCTCCTCACCTTGATGTAAATTTTCTCTCTTACAGCCTGTTCTTTGTTTATTTGGTTTATTTCATTCTTGGCTCTCTGGATTTATATGAAAAAAATACTATTCGACCGAAAATTTACGATCGGGGCTACGGCCAAACTAAAAGTCGCTCTCTCTGGCCTTCTCGGGGCTCGGGGCTGCTGGCTTGCTTTACTCCTTTCCCAAGGGAGGGGATCGAAGCTGAAACGCGCACACACGCTCTCAAACCTCACTCCGTCCTACTGTAGCTGTGCGTGTCGATCGGATTACCGCCGCTGTGATCTGATCTCGCCAAGATTGGCCTTTTGATCCGAAGGTGATCACCCAAAGCATATTCTGCGTGCGTGCGAGCATCAATGTGACCGTGTCACGGATCGAGCAGGAAAAAAACAGCAGCTGCAAACGTGCAAAAACCGTGTGTTTACAGCAGCCAGCCATACAGCCCATACATGCCTATGAGTAGCAGTAGTATGGTTGGGCAGTTGGCTCATGACTTAATGTGCGGTGGCAACTTCGATCACGAGTTCACGACCAGAACAACAAATATCCGGTTCCGGCCAATGTTAAACAGAAACAGTCTGGAATCGTAATGGACCTGGAATTGGTCTTTGGCATTCTTATTACAAGCCTTGCCAAATTACATGGAGCTACGAGATTTGTATTTCCATCTGCTTTCGACAGTGACCGATAAAGCTTGTCGCTGCCGCCGCGCTGGGCTGGGCATCTCAACAATTGGCACAATCTGATGAAGATGGACAGACGCCAACAAGACACAACATGTGTTACTAGCACTGCTAGTGCACAGTAGCTACGGCCCAAGAGATGATGTGTCCTTCCGGTATAGTACCACAGTATTCTAGTTGCAGTGTTGGGATATGGCCTAAGGACTGCGGTACTTGTAGCTGCTGGACCGTAGCGTAGACATTATTATTATGATGGGGTTGGCACGCTCGTCCGCTGCTAGTAGCAACCAAGAACGTGGTTTAAAAAAAGAAGGTCGGTACGCCGAACCCCTCGGCGTGCCAGAGCTCCATCCACCGCAACCGGCGTGACAGTTTCTCTAGGCACTAGCCGACTAGGGACCAACAAGTGTGGACGACCGCTGGGCATGTGCACGAACCAACACCCGTCCATCCTTCACAAAACACAAGACGTTTTTACACCGGCCGGACGAGCATCGCGTTTGAGTTTTCACTGTGCACTGTGCAGGAGAAGACGAGCAATCGTTGTTTCGTTGCCTCGGCCACCGGCAGAACGGTGACAGCCTACAGCGCAGCTGTGCAAGTATAGGCGAGGCTGCACAAAAGTGCCGGATGCTCAGCTCTGACAGCCGGGGGTGGCCGGCAGCTTCTGTGGCCCGGACGGCCGGACGGGCCACGTGAGGTATCTGAAGCTAATCAATTCCTTCGTCAGCGAAGGCCGAAGAGGGAGGGAGAGAGCCGTCCCGTTCGTCCCCGGCTCCGTGATGCAGAATGCCAATGCCCCCATGAAATGCACGGTTAATAAAGTAATATTACAGTACATGTTTGCGTATCCATTTACGTCATATTCGTTTGGTTTATAAATCGTATTTTTAATCAATAATTAGTATTTTTTCTCGTAATAAATCGATCAATAATACTTTCAGATATGACTCTCGACCGGTGTCATCCAATCAACTATCAGGCACGTATTTTTAATGAAAAGAATTAAGAATCAGTCGGAGATGGGACAACTTGAGGGAATCTCGCCGGTGGAATCCACCACCGGAATGGCAGGCCTAGTTGGCTCGTTTTTTTCAATCGAAATCAGTATTTTTCTCTCATAAAAAATTAATCGAAACAATGTTTCGATTTATTTTTTCGAACGAAGCGAACGGCCTGAATTAATGTGCCTAAACAAAAGTTACTCCTGGAGAAGGCATTTCTACTAGTACTACCTGGTTTTAGAGTAGTAACTGTAATTCAGCTCTTACCTGCTGTGAAAACGATGAGAAAAGGCATCATGACCTCCTCCCCACAACACAAAACACAAGCTTTTCCGTGATGACAACAGGCGTGAACGGGAGAGCTTTCACTTTCCAGCTTAACCCCACCTCCATGTTCCCTTCCCCGTTTCCCACTTGGTCTTGGTCATGGCATGGGCCGCACAGCATGGCCCAAATGTGCGGGGGCTTGTTGAGTCATTTCCCCATGCGGCCATTGCCTAACAGGAACACACCAGGTGCAGCAACAGGAGAGCAAAGAGCATGCATGCAGTAGGGGGGTAGGGCGTCGCTGTCCGTCGTCTCCTCCAGATTTGTCCTACGTAGGCAGAGGCATAACCCCAGCCCAATTTGAGACAAAAGAGAGGCATCTGATGACCAAACAGCTCAGCTCAGCTAGGAGAGGAGGAGCTTATTAGCCATCAGCTGTGTTGTGTCACTAGTAGTAGTAGTAATAAGGCCCCGTTTAGATTCAAAAATTTTGGAATCAAAAAGGATAAGAGGGAGATTAGGATTTCTGCACAAGATTACATAAAATTTTTTAAATCTAAACAGGCCCTAAAAGGAAGAGGGGAGAGGGGAGCTGCACTGCACAGCACACAGCACATGAGGGCAAGCCAAAGCTGTCTGTCGCCTTCTCGAGCTCAGGAATGATAAACAATCATGGCACTAGCCCTTGCGTCCTTTCTTTGATCGGGAACAGTGGTACGGAGCACTCTCACTCCCACCCGGCCTCACCCTCACATGTGTGATCGACGCGGGGCGGATCCAAGTGTACATTGCTGTGTTTTTCATGCTTCTTTTGAGAGGCCTTCTTCTTGGTAACCGACGAAGCCCAAGTAGGAAATGGACACTGTCGCAACCTTCTAGGAGGGAAATGGATCGACGATCTGGACATCCTTGTGGTTTTTTAATCGCGGCCCCGGGATCTTTGCTCAGACGGGGAAGATTTTATTCGGGGTGGATCACGTTCCCCCGACCCGATCGAACGGCCGGGGCATTGACATTGCTAGCTAACGTGCAATAACAGAGTGTCACGTTGCATTGCTAGTTAACCATGCTCACAAGACGATTAAACCAGCGCATGATGATGCTTGATGCATATCTTTTGGCACGGCAGAGGCAATGCAAATGAGGCATGGATGGACAGGCAGATCTATCGGCATTCATTCGGTAGGGGTATGATTAGCCTAATCGCGTCACTTCCGACGCTACGCTGAGCTAGGCCACGCCTCTTTTGAGCAGGCACAAAAGCGAAGGCCCGGCCCGGGGCCCTGCGCGTGAACACCGCCGAGCCCACGCCCCTTTTGATCGGACGGGAACGCGCAGGCATCGGGATCGATCGCATCGCTTCGCTGGAACACGCAGGCACGCTGCACGCAGGCAGGCAGGCGGCTAGGCCGAGCTCGATCGATCGCCGTGGCATTACCGGCCGGGCGCTGTCTTTCCCGCTCGTCGATCCGCCTGCCGGCGAAAAGGCCAGAGCGAGCTCCCCTCGGCATCAGCCATCCAAGGACGCACGCACGAAACAAGTGGGAAACGTATGGGAATGAGGGAAAGAAACGAGCAGCCCATGATTGCCCGCCACATGTGGACGGATTCCATCGGCTTTCCGGGATCGCTCGGAGCCCGCTGTGAATTAGCCGTTGCGTCCGGGCCGGGACGGCTGCCGACGAGAAGGTGGGGAAGGAGGAAATCTATCCTCTCCACCACCACGCGCGGTTCCAGCTTCGTGCTGTGGTACCAGGGCCATGTTTACTTGCCCTGAATCAGCGCCATCGAAAATACAATAGGTTACTGTAGTGTAACGTAGCATTTTGTTTGTATTTGGTACTGATTGTCCAATTATTGACTAATTAGGTTCAAAACGTTTGTCTCGCAAAGTATAACTAAATTGTGCAATTAGTTTTTTATTTCGTTAACATTTAGTATTCCATGCATGTACCGTAAGTTTGATATGACGGGAATCTTCTTTTTACATAATGCCAAAATTTGGATTTTGAGGTGAACTAAACATGGCCTAACTTAGTTTGATGTTTCCATGCAACGCGGATCCCAAAGGCAGAAACGTGGGGCCTATTTGATTTCTGGCCCCTGGTCTGGCTGTGGCCAGCTCTAGCCTAGTTTTCATGGACCCCGTTTAGTTCCATTTTATTTTGCATAAAATTTTTCAAGATTTTTCGTCACATCAAATCTTTGGACGCATGTATGAAGCATTAAATATAAATAAAAAATAAAACTAATTACATAGTTTAGACGAAATTCACGAGACAAATCTTTTAAGTCTAATTAGACTATGATTGAACACTAATTGTCAAATAACAATGAAAGTGCTATAGTACCATTTCGCCAAAAAATTTGCAAACTAAACAAGCCCTTGGTGCAACTTCCCCTGTTTGATTCTCATGTTCCTTTTGAACCAGGCTGAATTAGGATTATGTTTGATAGGATATACCAGATGGATACGGTGACCTTGGTTCCAGAATATGGTGATGTTACCTCCCCTCTTCTCTTGTTGGCATTTCAACGAGCAGTTGGTAGGCGCCGGCTGGGCCACTGGCCGGCGGTGAGGAACACGCAGGACCAGCACCACCGCGACGTAGCTCGGAGTCGGCAACGGCGGGATCCGGGAATGGGAGGGGGAACCGTTGACGGAGGCTCGACGCTGAGCCTGGGAGCACCACTGCCGTCACCTACGTGCCACTCGGCCGTGGTGCCTGGGAGCGCCGACGCCGAGCATGGGAGGAC